CTAAAAATAAAATATTCCTACATATCCCATGTGCATTGGATGGTACGACAATGGGGTTTAGCCGCAATGGTTGAGCAGCAACTTTTCCCCCTCCCCCAATTGCCACTCGGGTTCGAACTAGTATGAGTTATTGAAATATTGTGATACCCATTTACTGTACAGTCCCCCTCCCTTTCCTACCTATTGGCAACAACAAAAAAGTATATTGGATGGTAAACCTGTACCCGCAACATACAAAAATTTCCCCTTTTTGGTCCAATCTAAGCAATTTGAACTGTCGAATCATTGGTTTGCTTGGCGGTGGTTTTGGGCAACCAACCTTATGCAGCCACCTATTATGCTATGCTCTATGTACTGCTCCTCTCTTCTATACTCTTCCTTCTCTTTGCTTTCTTTCGCGGGCGATTCTCTCTCTCTCAGAGACTGCTGAGCTTAAAGGAGCTTGACCTCAAGGCTTTGAATGAATGACTTCCATAATTATCAACCCATATTGCTCCTCAATCTCTCGGTCCCATTCTCAGTAAGCTCTCTCTCTCTCTTTTGCCTGCTATAGAGTTCGTAGTCCTAGTTTGATTTGATTGTTTTCGGCACCCGAAAACGTAGGAAGACAAATGATTAGAAATGTAAGTCCTAAAATTACAAAGAGTATTGAGTTTTTCATGTTTTGGTCTTTTAGAAACGCTACAAATTGGGTGTTATACATGAATATGCATGCAATGTTGAAAATAGGGAGACCAATTGAGCATCACAGTGATATACAGATAGTTAATTGGATATGTGGGAATTCCCTGTTTAGTCAAGAAATGGTTTTAAACCTTGGGTTTTGTAACCCTAATAAAAGTTTTGGGATAAAGAATTTTGGATGAGAATTATGGTTTGCATGACCTAATTGTTAAAGTTATATGGGATTTAAGGTTAGCAGCTCAAAACTGTTTAAGGGTTCACTACAAGGTTAATAGATATGTGAAGTATTTGGTTTTGGATGATTTGTTGGTATTGCTATTTCCTCAATTCAGATTAGCAGGTGTATGTGTTGATGCCTAACTAATTCTTATCTTCAGAGGGCGCAATGGTCTATATTGTGGGACTTCATTTGCGGCAAATGGGTGCTTATATGATTTTGTCACGCCAAGTTTGACTTGAAAACTGATGATGGCTTTGGTGCAACCTTGTTTCAAGGTACCAAGTAGGAAGAAGGTTGCCGATGGGGTGTGGGAGTTATTCATGGTTGAAAAGGCAAAGATAATAAGTATGATTGGTGAGCAAAAAGTTAGTATCACAACCGATACTTAGACATCGATCCAAAACATAAATTACATGGTTGTGACGATCCACTTCATGGATAGTGATTAGAACTTGCACAAAAGAATTATTAGCTTCACAAAGATAACTAGTCATACGAGCATTGACATAGGAAAAACCCTATATGCAAGTTTGACGGATTGGGGCATACACAAAGTGTTCACAATTACCATTGATAATGCTTCCGCCAATGATGGGGCGGTTGAGTACATGGCACAAAGCCTAAAGGCAATGAACACCTTAATGTTGGATGGGAAGTACTTGCACTTGAGGTGTGTTTGTCACATTCTTAATTTAATTGTTAAGAATGGGTTGAAGGAGCTTAGTGCCTCAATTGAGGGTGTAAGAAATTGTGCGAAGTTTATTATGTGAAACCCCATATTTTTAATATTTCATAAAATTAAATATTTACAATTATAAATCTTCAAAAACTATATAATTAATAATATATATATATATATTATTAATTGTACAGCAAGTTACGTAAAGTTAACTATTAACTAGTATAGCCTATCAAATGTTATTGCATGGTTTTAATTATTTCAATTCATTTCAGCATTAATTATTATTATTATTATTATTATTTATATATATATATACTTACTTTACAAAAACTATTAGAAAAACATTTATGCTTACTAAGCATTGTTGAAGACTGACGTGTTGCAATGTAGTGTCCTCAAAACCAATTAAAGCATGAGGTGTAAGAATGATAGTTATTCCTATATATATAAACTTGATAGGAGAGTGCTCACTAAGCACTCTACAAAGCCAACACAAAAGGCTATTTGGGAGTCTAGGAACCTATGGACTAATTAGGTGGCACAACATTAAGCTTCATCTAACCGACTCTAGCTTACTATAAATAGGTCTACTCAATAGTTCTTTGATCATAGGTACTTCAAGTGTGTTAGTTTCCTAAAACTCCTAGACAGAAGAAAGAACGAGTGAAGTGAGGTGAGATTTTGGAGAAGCTCAAAGTGTTTGGACTTACAACTGGGAGTTATACAATAGCTTTGGATTTGAGGTAGGGGTTCTTTCTTGGGGAGGTTTTGCATAAATTGATTTAATTAAATATTGTGAACACTATATTATGCTTGGTAATATTGTTTGATTATTATCCTTGATATTGGGTGTTTACATGATTGTAAATTATCATTATAATTTGATTAATATTGACATGTTCATATGTTGTCAGTGGTGTTCAGAATTCTTGGGTTAACAAAGAAATTATGGAAAAGAGGGTAATGGGAAGGTTCTTTTGTGTAGTTGAGTCTGACCATTGTAAGGACCAAGTTCAGGCGAGCTCGTGTGCACAGTAGATTAGGAAATCGGCGGTATAATTGTCGATTGGGTGATTTGGGCTTGGAGATCAATGGTATGGACAAGATGACTAGCAAAAGGGGAATTATGGGATGATTGAAATGGGTGTTAGTTTATATAATGGGGCATTCGGAATCACAGTGGTAAAATGCATGGTATGGGACATGCAGATTTGCTTGCC